AAATTTTTGCAAAATTATTCAAAACAAAAATTCAAACTATAAAGTTAAGAAAACTCTCGAAAAGTTAAGCTTCTTAACCCACTCAAATTGTAGAATAAATCCTAAAGTTTAATTATTGTGAACACGAAAATTTTTTATATTTGGCGACACAGTTTTTTTTAAAGAAATGTATCTCAAACGAAAATTCGGAAATTGTCGTTGCTTAGTTGATAAACAAAACGTTTCAGACGATAAATTTTTCAAAACAATCACCTTTAGTTCATGTTCTTGTACAATACAATTTCTTGAACCTTCTGGCTGTATTTTTCCTAGTTTTTAGAATGACATGTTTATTTTTGCGCTCGAAATCTGGCTGTAAAGACGCACAATGAAGACACTTTTTTACCGCCATTTTGAGCCTTCGGAAACGTTCGGAACAGCTTCTCATCAAGTTCGCAATACTATTACAGGTAAGGTTGACGCATGCGCAGACGTTTTTCCGCGGTGTTGGGTTTTCCCAGATTTCCCCCGTAAAAACAATAAAATCAAATCACGAAATAGAGATCAAACCTTGTAATATTAACGAATAAATATACACAAATTAAATATTGTTTTAAAAACACATTGTACATTTTGCTTGCTCATATGCTAAATCACTTCAATTCATTGGCTATTGTTTCAAAATACCGTTTTAACGTTTAATTCTAATTTTTAACATCCTATATTCAATACAAATTTGTATATATATTAATTAATATATTACATTTCGGTCGCATAATATAGGTTCACGCGTTTTCGCTTTACTTCTGGTATTATATAATTATTTGTTTTCGAATTCAGCCTATCTTTCCTATATTGTGTACCATTTAGTTATTTTGCACCTAGCTGTTGATTAATTATGTTTCCTTTACCCGGTTGAGAGCATTGGTTAGAAGTTACTACATCCGATGCAACAATAGAACTATCCGGTGAAACAATGAGACATTCAAAGTTGGTTATAAATAATATCGCACGGTTGAGAACATTCGGTGGGATTTACTACATCCGATTATTAACCGTGATCCGATGCAACAATAGGACCATCCGATGAAACAATGGGGCATTCAAATTTAGTTATAATTTCGCACGGTTGAGAACAATCGGTGGGATTTACTACATCCGGTGAAACAATAGGACCATCCGATGAAACACTAAGACATATGACTTCGCATGGCTGAGAACATTCGGTTGGCTTTTCCAGGGACTTATTTACATTTCCAGGGACAGAATTTTGGATTTCATTGTTTTTTTATCGTACTACCTCCAACATGCATATTATGTTCCAGTTGCTTATGTCGCTCTCTCTCGTTTCAAAGGTCCTCTTTTAACTTAATTATTTCCTCATTCCCACGTGCCAATTAGCAATGGCTGACGTTTTAGACTCTATGGTGTTCAGCATAATTGTCATGTCTAATTTGATCCCTTCCAATTCAGCAGTAACTAAACTACATCTACAGCCGCAATCACGGTTTTGCTTTGGCGACTGATTACAAGGGGGTGTTATCTTTGCTGAATAAGATACGTGGAGCTGTAAATAAATAAATAAATAAATAAATAAACAGAATATATGGTAACTATATATTGCGTCTTTCTTAAACAAACAATCAATTATTATCACATGTTGTTAAGAGAGAAACTTCGGGGGATTGACAAGTCTAAGGCAGGTGGTCCGGATGGTCTACCGGCTGGGTTGCTGAAGACGTATGCTGATATAATCGCACCAGCTGTTACGGATGTTCTCAACTCCTCATTTCTTGAATGCAAAGTTCCTAATATATGGAAAATGGCAGATAGAGCACCACTTCCCAAGGCTCAAGATATTGAGGATTTTAACAAAGATTTGAGACCAATATCTTTGACGTCAACCTTATCAAAAATTGCCGAAGATTTTATCATTCAACATGACCTAAAACCTAAGCCTTTAAACCCTAAACAATTTGGTTTTTTCCGGGATCAAGTACAAAGTTTGCCCTGATATCAATGCTTCATAAATGGTTGGCTGCTACTGATGGAACAGGTTCCGCCGTTAGGATTATTTTATTGGATTACAGGAAAGCGTTTGATTTGGTTGATAACAATCTTTTGGTTGCGAAGCTTCATAAATATGGTATTAAACCAACAGTTTTAAATTGGATAGTCAATTTTTTACGTAACCGATTTCAACGAGTGAAACGGGCTATTAGTAAAACCAGGAACACCGGAACAACGGAACACCGGAACACGGAACACCGGAACAGCATCATTCCGGAACACGGAACACCGGAACACTAAAAATTCTAAATTTGTTAAAAATTCGGAAAAAAAATACCGGGGGGTGTTGCTGCATTAATTATTGCGTAAAACGTGCCTTTCTGACCGATAGCTACGTACTAATAACGAACAGAAATCCTCGGCAGAAATCAGTCTCAAAGTAATAAATATTTGCCCGAAAAATAGAAATCAAACCTAGAATTGTTATTTGCTGAGAATATTAAATGGCCCATCTTTGTTTTTTGTTGAAAACATGACAATCAAAATATCAAAGTAACAACAGTTGATTGGCTTCCTTGTTTTTACCGACTTCGCTACTCTTGAAGTGCAAAAGGATAATTTTCAATTCTCGTTCGAAGTTGGTATTTAGCATCACTTTAATACAGACAGTTCTTTAATATTGATCCTTTCTCACATGTACACGAAATATTTTATTAGCGGCAATGGATAAAAAACCTTTACTCTTTAGCGTGTGAACCTTTCGCTCAATTAAAATGACAAAAATACAAACAAATATAATTATAGGCCATGTAAGTTCTATATATAAATGATGTTTCAACGCATGCATGTGTGTCTATTCGTTCATGTTTAAACTGTAAATTAAACTGACACTCAGTGAGGGAATTTTAGTACGAGTAAAAATCCTACGACTCTATCCGCGTTTTCGCTCGAGTTTTCGCTTGCCTGGTCTCTGAGATTCAATAGTTTTGCCGTTGGCCGTCTATAATAGACAGGTTCAGATTTGACTTCCACTACCACTACCGCTACCTTAAATGTGTTACGCATGCGCAGTAACTGCAAGAGCGTGAGGAAACCGTCGCATGTTTTTGTTTTGGGACCGTAACAAAGGCTATGTTTACATTGTATCGGATCACTTTGCGTCCGACGCAAAAACCATACCAGATAGGGCTTCTGTTTACATATGAAATGTTGTTATCGTCTCAATTTCTGCAACGGACCGGTGGTGCGGCGGTTCGCTCTTCGAAGTGGTGCGCGGTGTATCGGATCGGTTTTTGCAACGCTCTCATTGTAATGTAAACACCAATCGGAGCAATTTCGGTTCAATGCGTGACTCGGATGGAATCTGGCAAACAACAACTTACTATTCTAATAATATATAGAAGAAAATACGACGGCATAGATGGGCGGGGCGGAAGCTGTTTACACTTGGGCCGTAACTTTTCGCGAACGAAACAAAAACTGATCCGATACAATGTAAACATAGCCAAAGCGATTTATGGTCGTCGGGAGAAGTCTAATCTGAACAGGTCTAAACAGTCCGTCGCGACCGCTACCAATGGAGCCGTCAAAGGTAGCGGTAGTGGTGGTGGAAGTTGAATCTGAACCTGTTTAATATGGCATAGCATACCGAGCATACTAGCCTACATATAAGAAGGTCGCACATGACGACGCGGTACTAGGCTATCTGATGTCCTGACTCCTGTATATATCATTGTCATCATTATGGAGGTACTTACACAGTATATCCTATAGGCTATATAGCACGAAAGATTACATACACTAAATTATTCCCTTTTAGGATACGCCAGTTTTGAATTTATAAACAACAAGTTGATTCAGTACAAACTGCAAACATGTCAGAAGAAGATCAACTTGTTGTTTATAAATATAATACTGGCGCATCCTAAAAGGGAATAATTTGTAGTGTATGCAATCTTTCGTGCTATAGCCTATACTGTGTCAGTACCTTCATAATGATATATATAGGAGTCAGGACATCAGATAGCCTAGTACCGCGTCGTCGTGTGCGACCTTCTTATATGTAGGCTAGTATGCTCGGTATCCTATGCCATATTATAGGCGGCCAAATCTCAGAGCAAGCGAAAACTCGAGCGAAAACGCGGATAGAGTCGTAGGATTTTTACTCGTACTAAAATTCCCTCACTGAGTGTCAGTTTAATTTACAGTTTAAACATGAACGAATGGACACACATGCATGAGTTGAAACATTATTTATATATACAACTTACATGGCCTATAATTATATTTGTTTGTATTTTTGTCATTTTAATTGAGCGAAAGGTTTATATTATCACGCGCTAAAGGTTTTTTATCCATCGCCGCTTATAAAATATTTTGTGTGAGAAAGATCAATATTAAAGAACTGTCTGTATTAAAGTGATGCTAAATACCAACTTCGAACGAGAATTGAAAATTTAATATCCTTTTGCACTTCAAGAGTAGCTATTAAAGTCGGTAAAAACAAGGAAGCCAATCAACTGTTGTTACTTTAATATTTTGATTGTCATGTTTTCAACAACAAACAAAGATGGGCCATTCAATATTCTCAACAAATAACAATTCTAGGTTTGATTTCTATTTTTCGGGCAAATATTTATTACTTTGAGACTGATTTCTGCGAGGATTTCTGTTCGTTATTAGTAGCTATCGGTCAGAATGGCACGTTTTACGCAATAATTAATGCAGCAATACTTTCACACCCCCGGTATTTTTTTTCCTAATTTTTAACAAATTTAGAATTTTTAGTGTTCCGGTGTTCCGTGTTCCGGAATGATGCTGTTCCGGTGTTCCGGTGTTCCGTTGTTCCGGTGTTCCTGGTTTTACTAATAGCCAGTGAAAGTTGATTCTGATTGTTACTCCGACTTTTTGCATGTCCCGGCAGGTGTCCCAAGGGGAACTAAACTTGGTCCGTGGCTTTTTCTCGCTATGATTAATGACCTTCGACTTTCGGGCGACTCTTTAAAGGATATGTGGAAATATGCTGACGATACTACAATATCTGTGGTTATTCCTAGGTTCGGTAACAGTGCCTTACAGCCAATTGTTGACGGGAGTGTGAACTGGTCTGATCAAAATAAATTACACCTACACCCAGCTAAATGCAAAGAATTGAGGATTCAGTTTGCCAAACGTGAATGCATGGTTGAACCAATTATTATAAACGGGCAACACCTAGAAATTGTAAAATCAGCAAAAATTCTGGGTATGACGTTAACAGACGACCTAAAATGGAATAAACATATAGGAATGGTTGTGCTTAAGGCTTCGACTAACGACTGTATCTTTTAAGGTAATTCCGCAGTAATTGTTCCCGAAATGAGAATGTGCTGAAACTTCCCAGGCATGGAGTTTATGATATACTTAAAGTAAAATCACACAAAAAAGTCGGGGTCACCGAACTCGTTAAGAAGATATGACAATCACAATATACCACCTTTACCCCAATATGGCGCCATCTTGACGCTCATTACGAGTAACAGCAAAATCACAACAGCCCGATATTTATTGACGTTTTTAGCGCGGATTTTGCTTTAGTAAACCTATCTTGTAATTATTTTTGAAAAAATATTGTGTTTTGAGCAAAATGAAACTACTAACGTGTACAATTCTGATCCACAAATGTCTTTTCCACATTTCTTTACATATCTTTCTTTGAGAACATGCATTGATAAAGGATTTTTTTTCAAGATCCAGAAATGATTTTTCTTTTAATTTCGGATATGAAATGTAAAATGCATTAAAGAAATAAATTATCAGTTAAAAAACGGGGGTCACCGATCTTTTTAGGGAATTGTGGCATTAAAACGTGAAATACAAGTAAATAAATATACTACAGACACAGAGAACCCTAGCTACACTTTTGTATGCCTTTTTTGAAATCATTGATTTTAACGCAATTCTTTGCACGAATGTAACCAAAGATGTTTTGAAGTAACATAAAATTGTAATAAAATGATTTTTTTTAAATGGTACGTATAATGAATGAAATTATAAGTTATAAGATGTGCGCAGTAAAAGTGCGCAATGCAAAACTGCGGAATTACCTTAAAACAATTACGACGTGCTGGTGTTGATAAGAAACATCTAATTGGTTTCTATAATGCGTGTATCAGGTCGATTCTGGAATATGCTTGTGAAGTTTTTCATTCAAGTCTTCCTACATATCTGCCCAACGATTTACAACGAGTACAAAGACGTGCAATGAGGATAATTTTTCCTGAAACGAGGTATAAGGAAGCCTTGGAACAGGGACATTTACAGTCACTTGATGACAGACGAGAATATTCATGTATTAAGCTTTTTGAACAAATTGAACAAGATCCAAGTCATAAATTAAAGAATCTCTTACCTAGTTTAAATATACGTCTTTTGACAGCCTTCGAACCGTAAGAAAGTATAACCTTCCTTTAATCAGAACAGACCGTTTTAAAAATTCTTTTATACCTAGTCAAGCAGCGAAAGTGACGTTGTAGTTTTTAGCGTAGTAATAGTTTAAGCAACAATGAATTGTAAATAATTTTATATCAATTGTAAATCATTTGTAATTCAGCCATTTTTTGGCTTCGTGAATTGGAAAGTGACGTTGTAGTTTTTAGAGTAGTAATATATTAAGCAACAATGAACTGTAATAATGAACTTAGTATTTTATTTCATATCATTTGTAAATCATTTGTAATTCAGCCTTTTTTGGCTGCGATATTTGAATCATTAAACTATCTATCTATCTATCTATCTGTTCCTATATAGCTATGTATATATTGTAAAATAATGACATTCATTCAAGATGGCTGACAATCACAACACAAAACGATATATATTATTCAAACATAAATATGTTACAAATATACTCACCCGGGTGGGCAGAGTATGCTTATGCTAATTATGATATCACATCTTTCCCTTTTTAATAATAGCCTAAATTCTAAATAAATTAAAGTTCAAGTTGCTAAGACAAAATGTTAACTGTTCTAGATAAAGCAAAGTTCGAATATAAAACATAGGAATATAAGTTCATTAAACTTATAAATTCAAAATAAATAAATTTAATGTCAAATAGTGTTTCCACTTTACCACCCAAATCGTCTGGGTTTCACCACTAATCGACCACTTCTGGTAATGTACGGGCTGATGGTCTCGGCTGGTGGTGGGAACATTTCTGGTAAGGGATCTGGATTCACGGTCGATCAAGCAGTGGATTAGTCGGCACCAACGGATAGTGGATCTGCATTCTCGGGAGATGATATTTCTTTGTCAACTACTGGAGCTATGGTTTGGTCGTCGCTGTCAGATCCAAGAGCTGGGCAAACTCTCAAATGCTGTCGATTGCGACAATACTTTCTTCCGTCCTCGGTTTGCACCTCATATGATCTTGGCGTATGGTGATGCCTCACTACCGTCGCTGGTTTCCATTCTTTGAAATGCGTCCACGGTTCTAACCGGACTTTAGCTCCAGGCTGAAGTTCTTTCAACTCCTTACTTGCATGCTTGTCGTGGTACTTCTTCTGGTCTTCTTTTGTCTTCATTAAATATTTGGAAATACGTTGTGGGCTGTTGTTAGCTGGTTGAAGTAAACTTTCCATCATAGGCAGGTCGTTTCGCAATCGACGTCCCATAAGTAGTTTGGCAGGAGACAGTTGGATATTAGGTAACGGCGTTGTTCGATAGTGAAGTAGGGCCAAGTACTTATCATTACACTTTCGCCACAAATTCTTAATAGTTTGGATGGCTCTTTCTGCTTCTCCGTTTGCTCTCGAGAAGTGAGGTGAGCTGGTGATATGTTTAAAACCATACTCTTTTGCGAATTCTTGGAACTCGCGACTACTGTATTGGGGCCCATTATCAGAAATGACCTCGGCTGGAATTCCATGGACACAGAATTGGCGTTTGAGCTCGTCTACGACAGCACTAATTCTTGTCGATTCCATCTTGGTAACCTCTGGAAACTTACTACGGTAACACACAGAAACCAAAAAATGTTCTCCACGAAATTCAAATAGGTCGGTTCCTATCTTTTCCCACGGAAACTTTGGAGGAACGGTTGGTTTCAAAGGTTTTGAAGGCTGCTTATTGGCATAATCTACACACACGCTACAATTGGTAACCATTTTTTGAATGTGTACTGACATGCCAGGCCAAAACAATACATCTCTGGCTCTTTGTCTGCATTTGACTATCCCCAAATGACTCTTGTGGATTTGACAAAGCATATCTGATCTAAGAACTCTCATAAATGTCCAATACTGACGATCGGTATCCGATCGACAAAGCAGTCTTACAGACGGTACGGATGGATCCACCGGACAATCTTGTTTACCGTCGGACAATATTTTACCGATGGCTGCCCAAAAGCAAATAAACGCCTGCTGCGCAGATCACTGCGTGAGTGTCTCGGGTGGCACTGCAAGTTCATTGTGCGATGTGTGAATGTCGAATGGTCCGATCGATCGATCCGATCCATCGGACAAACGTTTTCGCGGTCCGACAATTATTTTACCGATGGCAAAAAGTGACGCCAAAGAAACAAGTATATGTTCTATATTCCCTTGTTCTTTACAATGATCTTCGTCTTTAAAAACATAATTTTACATGCCAAACAACCTTTGTACATGAATTATAACATCAAACTGAATTATTATAATATATATGCCAATCAAACTAAGAACACGAATGATTTTAAATACATGATGTTGCGTCGTTCTTTAGAAACCTTATCATAATATTATATACATGCCAAACAACCTTAGTACATGAATTATAACTTCAAACTGAATTATTATAATATATATTCCAATGAAGCTCAGAACACGAATGATTTTAAATACATGATGTTCCGTCGTTCTTTAGAAACCTTATAATATTACATGCCAAACAACCTTAGTGCATGAATTATAACATCAAACTGCATTATTATAATATATGCCAATCAAGCTCAGAACACGAATGGTTTTAAATACATGATGTTGCGTCGTTCTTTAGAAACCTTATCATGATATTACATGCCAAACAACCTATAGTACATGATTTATAACATCAAACTGAATTATTATAATATATATTCCAATGAAGCTCAGAACACGAATGATTTTAAATACAAGATGTTCCGTCGTTCTTTAGAAACCTTATCATGATATTACATGCCAAACAACCTTAGTGCATGAATTATAACATCAAACTGAATTATTATAATATATGCCAATCAAGCTCAGAACACGAATGATTTTAAATACATGATGTTGCGTCGTTCTTTAGAAACCTTATCATGATTTTACATGCCAAACAACCTTAGTACATGAATTATAACACCAAACTGAATTATTATAATATATATGCCAATCAAGCTCAGAACACGAATGATTTTAAATACATGATGTTGCGTCGTTCTTTAGAAACCTTAATTATCATAATATTACATGCCAAACAACCTTAGTACATGAATTTCAACATCAAACTGAATTATTATAATATATGCCAATCAAGCTCAGAACACGAATGATTTTAAATACATGATGTTCCTTCGTTCTTTAGAAACCTTATCATCATTTTACATGCCAAACAACCTTAGTACATAAATTATAACGTAGCTAGGTTTACACATAACTAAAAGTAAACGTTGTCTGACTAAGATTTTTATTTAAACGACCTTTCCCGACTACCTAACTGTAGTCTCGGGCGGGTAAAGCGGAATGAATTAATTACAAGCGTGCATGTGTCAGGTGATGTTATAACAATAAGTGATTGGTGTGATAATTATAGCGTCTAGCCATGACATTTTTTATTAACCACCATAGCACTGTATATTGTTTAGGAAGCGACTTACAATTATTTTCATAATTTATTATTATAGCAGTATGCCAAGATTCTAGTAATGTTTTACGTGTCCGATACTTGCCACTATCAATTACTTTCCCATTATAGTCTAGGACCTGTATATGAGTTTGTATGCGATTCATTTAGGACAGGTAATCTCAACTGTTTTAGGGTAAAATGACTATGGCGGTCAACATGGCATATGTGCGACAACCTGAATCCGGGACGAAAGTCCTGAAAATGACCCCGCCCTGAAACGGCAGTGTCGACATAGCTCTAACTTCCGAAAAGGAAAAGCGATAGCCTTTCTGAAGTGCTTATAGTGTTTAGAAGAGTTGCTTTTAGGGGTGGTCATTGGAAGGAAAAATTTGTCGAAGTATAATATTTTACCAGAAAATGACCATGCACCATCCCAGGTAAATTGCTGATTATGCACAAAATAACTAATATGCCTGGCAGAAATTAAATATTCTTATTTCCTAAAAAAAATTATCATGGGGTGAAAAACTATGCTTAATTTAATATAAATATTGTTGATTTCATAAGGATTGTCATTGTTTTCTTTAAATATAATACATTTTATTTCACTTACTCCCCACGAAAACATGATTTCAGCCATATTTTGCCGTCTTGTTTGCTTTTTATCGCCGAATCTCGCAAATAAACTAAATACATTGTATTTATTGTATTTTTATGATTTATGACAAAACTACGCAAATATTTATTGTTTTTATTATAAATCATAAAAATACAATAAATACAATATATTTAGTTATGTTTCTGTGGTGGCGAACATATTCGTGAAAATATTCAACCCCCCTGTCATGTGTCCACGGGAAGTTTTCGCGAAGATTGCGCTTGACTTTCAAATGATTTGTTTTTTATTTTGAACCTAAATGGTATACGGGAGGATTTTTCCTTCCTAATGGGACAAATCTTGCCAATTTTTGGATTGGGACTATTCTACAATGAAGTACTCTTGGATACTGTAATCTAAATACATATGGAAACGAAGAAGTTGCATTTATCAGACAGAGAAGCGGCGAGCCATTAAAATGGCGGCAATTTGGCGGAATATCGAAGGACACAATATCGAAGGTAAAATACACTGCACTGTTACAAAAGTGGATGAAACGTTAACCTTCTTTGAAATCTTCTTCAGCCATTTATGATTATGTAAAAGTACAAGAACTGGATGATATTTGCGAGATTCGGCGATAAAAAGCAAACAAGACGGCAAAATATGGCTGAAATCGTGTTTTCGTGGGGGGTAAGTGAAATAAAATGTATTATATTTAAAGAAAACAATGACAATCCTTATGAAATCAACAATATTTATATTAAATTAAGCATAGTTTTTCACCCCATGATAATTTTTTTTAGGAAATAAGAATATTTAATTTCTGCCAGGCATATTAGTTATTTTGTGCATAATCAGCAATTTACCTGGGGTGGTGCATAGTCATTTTCTGGTAATATATTATACTTCGACAAATTTTTCCTTCCAATGACCACCCCTAAAAGCAACCCTTCTAAACACTATAAGCACTTCAGAAAGGCTATCGCTTTTCCTTTTCGGAAGTTAGAGCTATGTCGACACTGCCGTTTCAGGGCGGGGTCATTTTCAGGACTTTCGTCCCGGATTCAGGTTTTCGCACATATGCCATGTTGACCGCCATGGTCATTTTATCCTAAAACAGTTGAGATTACCTGTCCTAAATGAATCGCATACAAATTCATATACAGGTCCTAGACTATTATGAAAATCAATTATAAGTAATTACACGATCCATATATTCATTTGTTGTATAGTAGAGAGCATGAGATACTGAAAAATACACAGTAACATAATATATTTTCCATATCTTCGCTAGTGAAGGTTTCGATCACGTGACTTTTGTATTTATGCCATTTCTTGCTTGATCATGACACTATATAATAAACAAGGGCCGGTTGTATAAAACTCCTAATCACTTTTTGTATCTGCGCGTAGCGCAGATATATTGCTATCGCGTCAGTCAGTAAAGTAAAGTAAAGTTAAGTTAGTAAGTTTTAAGTCCGTCAGCCTTGTTTTGAAGACCTGTTCGCAGGCTAGAACAGCTTTAAAACAAGATGGCGTCTTTCGAAAAGCTGTCAAGAGAAGTATTAGTATTAATCGTGGTATTAATAGACTTTATCCTGACTTTATTTTGATAAAATCTTCTTCTATAGCAGTCTTGGACTGATATAACTCTTACAGTCAAACCGGATGTTCTGTTCCCATGAGTATTGCAACATCGCAATCAATCTTGCAATGTTGATTGCAAATTGTTCCGAGCAAATCACACGCAAGTATGCAACTGTCATTTTTTCAAGTTCCTATCACTCCCGTGTTGGGTCAAGAGAATAACAAATCAAAAGGACTAATATCTGGCCTACCACTTGACAAATTAAAGGTAAACTGGAATGTATAGAGAATATTTATACATGGTTGTGCGGAAATATGTAATTTATTTCGAGTGTTGAAGAGAATATTGCTAACGAGTGAGCGTAGCAAATTGCAAGTTGTTCCATTATGTGATTTAATAATCTAAATTTTTGAGTAATTAGGTCATGGACATATTGTAATTATTATGAGTATTTACTACTTTATCTTCGTATCAAACCAAATATATAGCATTGCGAGCTTTAATTGCCAATTGGTATTAAACTCTGCCAGTTTGAGAACATATTATGTTTACATATTTAATTTACCGCAAAATAAATCCCTCTTTGGCACTGAATTTTGCATGTTATTTAGTATTTTTGTATCACGTTATGATTAAAATGGACATATTTCTTGAATAATACTTTTAATCTGTCAAATGATAGGAAAAATATTAGTCCTCATACTTTGTTTTGGATTTGTTACTTTTTGTGATAGATAGGGGAACCAAAGCCTTGGTATTTCCAGAGGGTATTAAAATACAAAATTAGCCTGTGACAGTATGCTCCTGATTTTACTTCATATTCGATTTGAACAACACAAGTTCTACAACAAAAACGTACACGATGTACTAGTGAGCTTAAGCAAGTGACGTTTTTGACAACACGGACGTCGACCGGAAGTAAAATAGACGTTTTTCACCAATCACATTCCTTGACCCAGTCTTCTGACGTTACTCATGCCGTTCGTGTTGGCAAAAACGTCACTTGCTTAAGCTCGCTATTGTGCAAATATAAAACGTCATATTTATAGAATGATATTTGATTGACATGTTTACGCCACGCATTTCATACGCACGGGTTTTCCCTGAGTTTTTATAATCAGGGCTTGCAT